GGGAGTGGGCGGCATACAAATCAATAAAACTATAAACTATAAACTAAACTATGAAAGAAGGCTACTGCACAGTGGTTCTTCTGGCCATTCATCTCTTAATTCCATCTCTTTTGGGGAATTCTCTGCACATACTGTGCCCTATTCACAAATCATGATCTCTGGTGTACTAATCCCTGCTGGCCTATGCGATATATGAGAAAGCTTCCAGCAGTAACCCAAGGCAGAAAAAGAACAGAAGCGCATTTCATCTTCTTCTTTGTGAGGTTCTACCAACACCATGTACACATCTGGTCTCACCTAAGGTGCTAAGATTTTTTTCTGAGCAGTTCTGCTCCCCCTCCCCATTTTTTTTTTTGGCTTTTTAAATACTTAATACAAACTTTGGGGTTCCACAACCCTGATTATTTTTACTTCTGTGTTTCATGGATTTTTGATGCCATTAAAATGCCATTCTCACATTCTGGAAATAAACACGCTGTAATACAAAGAACTGTGGAGAAAACATGATAGAATGCAGCATGCGGCCAGCCACACCGTTTCCCATTCCTCCTATTCCATTTTTCGTTTCCAATGGTCCCAGTAAACCTTTATTTTGGGAGAAGGAGCTGTTAAGCATTTGTTGTGTTTCTGCAAAATTTAGGATTCCCCCACGCTGCTGATGTAAGTTTTGGGTTTCCTTAGGGCCAAAGTTGTACACATATTGCATTTTGTTAGTTAATAAGAATGCAACAGATGATTCAAGAATTATTGTTAATTAGGTTATTCTATAGACTATTGTGGTGGATAGAATATATTATTTATATCATGTTCTGATTCAGAGCCAATCACATGCATATTAGCCTTCCAAAGTGCTTGTTGGAATGTTTCGGCTAATGGAGAGATTATTCAGATAGGCCCAGATCCACAAATCTTGCTTTGAATTGTTACTGAATCATCAATTATCTAGATTAGTGTTTCTCAACCTTGGCAACTTGAAGATGTCTTGACTTCAACTCCCAGAATTCCCCANCACGAGGACGCCGCCGGCCCCGTTCCAACCGAACCGGTTGGAACGGGGCGAGAAACCCACCCCTGCATACTACTCACAGGATAGTACAGTGATCATACCAATGTATGCCACCTTGAGCATGAAGAAGTAATGGGTGTTAAAATACAATAAATAAAACATGGTAATTTTTCTCCTCTTAAAGATGGACAATTAAAAAATAGGTAGTAAAAGAGTTTGAACTTCAGATTTTATAGGTCTTTTTAGAATAGCGCATTCAATTATGGACACTTTTTCTGACCTACAACATATTTTTTCCAAGTAGTGTGCTTGAAAAAGAGATTAAATCAATACCTGTTGGGGCAAATGGAACTGGGAAGTAAAGTGTGGTGTTTGTTTCCTCTAGAGGTATGCAATTTGGGGGTTGTTATGCCGTAACACCTAAGGCAGAAAAAGGCACATTCCTCACTCTCCTGATGAAACTTAATGCTCTGTTTTTACCACTCCATAGGTAGCTATTGAGCATTCGGCGTTCAATAATATAGATAAATATATTATTTTACTACTCCTTTTCACATTTTGTCTATTTTTTCTGCTTTTTCCTTCACTGCCTAGATTCCAGAACTCACAATCACTACTAACTCACCAGAAAAGAAGGACCCTTCTAAAGATCATCTCGTAGATTTTACTGATTCCCCACAGGGACATGCTATCAGGGTTCACACTACATCTCACGAGGAGCTGAAAGTGCCGTTGGCTTTCATGCTAGGTCCTGAACCCCATTCCTTGGGACAGTGGGATGCTGCTTCTGAATTCAGCAGGGGTGACCTCACCACAGAGGGCTCCTTCATGGAAGAATGCATGGAGGAGCAGTTGAGAAGATACCAAGAGCTGCCCCATCGCTTGGAGGAAGATGCCATAGATCGAGAACTGGAGCAGCTTTACTTGTCCCATCTGAGCCGGCTTCGAGCAGAGGAGCTTGGAGGAAGAGGGGAGTGGTCCGAGGAGAGCTCAGGCAACAACGCCAGTCCTGTGCCGTCTCTCATTGCGTTGCGTCAGAGTGTCTTGACTGATCGTGACCTCATAGTCAACTGGACAGGCCCAGAGAGAGCACTCAACAGTTCCCTGGCAAATGAGATCACACTGTACTATGCTAAGCAACGGGGCGATGACTCCAGAGATAGTGAGGAGGAGGGGATTATGGCAGGTTATGCAACACAGGGACCACCTGAGGTGGTGGGAACAGGCCGTGATAGCCCACCAGTCTTACTAGAAGGCTGCTTTCTAAATCACCTGGAAGAGGGAAATGTCCAGCAGAGTCCAATGGAGGACTCTGACTCCAGCTTGAGAGTGGTGGCACCTAACACCTTGAGGCCAGTAATTCCAGAGGCTATGGTGATGCCCCTTGTAGTTCCAGCCCGGACGCTAGCGCCCCTACCAAAGCGGCCCACAGACCTGCCATCCAGCCCTCTTGATGCCCCTGGACAAGGCAAGAGCCAGGGCTTCTTGATAGGGCCTGGCAGCCTCTGGCTGGGCGAGGGCCTTTGCGTCCACAAGCCCCCTGAAAACAGTCCCGCTCCTCATAACGAACTTGAGAAGATCTTGACACGCTCCCTGCGGTTCCTCAGCCTCTTTGTCTTCCTTCCCATGGTTTTCAACAGCTGCATGCCTTTGGTGGCCGTTACACTATACCTCCTCTTGGATTGGTTCTCATAATTGAGTGTGGCTCTCAGAAGTGCCAAAGGCTCGCGAGAAGATCTGTAACTTGGCTCTATCCCCCGTTTCACCTGAACCAGCTAGAAATTTGGCAGTAGCATCAGATCTTTTTGGAGTTAATGGCACGTCGATCCTAAATTTCCCAAGGTTCAGAACTATTTATTTTTTATTAAATCATCTGGTATAAGAGATGAATTGCTTGGACAATAAAAAATGAGCTATATGTGAAACTCGCCATGAAATTGGATTTGAAGGTAGCATTTGTAAGGCCCAGAGCAGGTGACGGTGGGCTCAAAGCCCCCAATAGCCCCCCCCCCAATTTCTCCCTTTGCACATTTTAATCAAGAAGGTTAGAAGTAACAGCATTGTCCACCCTTCATTTTCAAATAGAGGCAATTGAGTATGCCTTGTTTGAACAGCCTCAAATCCTACTCAAAAGAGCCAGAATAATATTTCTCTCTTCCGTCTTTAAAAACAAAATTCCTTGTTAAGATTTAGTAGACTTTGTCTCTGCTTTTGGCCTTCCTCTTTCAGGTTCTTGGATGAAATCCAATTAACTTACTTATAAGAAGTAAGTCATTAATTTATTTCCAATTTGAGAATGAGGCAAACATTTCCTAAAATAACCATATTCTTTGCTATTTTTACAGACATACGCTTTTAGCGAGCTTTGACTGTAACTTGTTTTGTGACAAAGCAGAACAATATTAAGGGATAATTTCAGAC